CCAAGCCAAGTACAGGTAGACCAAGAAAGATTGCAGCCACAACTGCCAGAAGAATTGTTCGAGTTACAAAGGGAAACCCATAGGTAACCACAAGAAAAATACAGGCTGCTCTGGAAAAAGACAGTGTGGTTGTTTAGGAGGTGCCCAATATGATGACACTTGAACAAAAATGAGCTGCATGGTCGAGGTGGCATAAAGAAGCCCTTACTGCAACAATGACACAAAAAGCCCTGGTTAGGCATGTCAAGGTGTTTCCAGGCATATTGTAACTGGGCTTTTTTGTGGCATTGGTGCAGTAAAAGCTTCTTTCTGGCACCTCAACCAAACAGCTAATTTTTGTTCAAGTATCACCGTATTGTACTCCTTAAAAACAACCACACCATCTTTTTCCAGAGCAGCCTGTATTTCTTTTGAGGTTGTCTGTGGGTTTTTCTTTGAATCCCAGACAATTCTTCTGTCAGTGGTGGCTGCAATCTTTCTTGGTCTGCCTGACCTTGGCTTGGTATCAAGAGATCCCCGAACTTTCCACTTCTTAATAGGTGATTTAACCATGGGCGTATTTGTAAACAAGGCACTTGCCTAGGATGGCACTTTTCAGGGAGGCGACGTCACACTTCGGCAAGTGATGTCACTACAGCAGAGGAATCCAGTGAGGAGTGGGAGTATCAGTCCTCCCCTGGACACTGCTGTCCTCCGGGATCATCTCTCAGTCCTGGCTTCTCACCGCCATCCACTGCGGAGAGCCCCGGCAGCTCCGACCCTCAGAGCAGCCTACAGCCTGGCCGGGCGCGCTGCATACTGGGAGTTGTAGTCTTTCACCCGCCTCTGACCTGCTGCCTCCACAGGAGTGAACTACAATCCTGGCAGGGTGTGCGGGGGAAGGACTACAACTCCCAGCATGCAGTGCGCCCGGCCAGGCGGTAGGCTGCTCTGAGGGGCAGAGCTTTCTGCAGTGGATGGCGCTGGGGAGCCAGGGCTGAGTGATGATCCTGGAGGACAGGCAGTGTCCAGCGGAGGCAGGGATCTCTGTCACAGAGAGGGAAGCGAAATGCAGCTGTGAGGAGGATACATACTGGCAGTACATGGCTCCCCCCCTCAGTCTCCGCCCCTCCACCAGTCCTGGTGAGTGATCTCCATCCTGCTATTCTGTATACCATGTATACTATTGGAGTGGGGACGGAGAGCTGACAGAGACTGACCAGAGAGAGACTGCCAGGTGACTGACTCATACCACTAACTGACACCTTCTCGCCACTCACACCACTAACTGACACCTTCACGCCGCTCATACCACTAAATGACACTTGCTTGCCGCTCATACTACTAACTGACACCTTCACGCCGCTCATACACGCCGCTCATACCACTAACTACACCTTCTCGCCGCTCATACCACTAACTGACAGCTTCTCCCTGCTCATACCACTAACTGACAGCCTCTCGCCGATCATACCACTAACTGACACCTTCTCACCGCTCATACCACCAACTGACACCTTCTCGCCGCTCATACCACTAACTAACACCTTCTCGCCGCTCATACCACTAATGTCACCTTCTCACTGCTCATACCACTAATGTCACCTTCTCGGCGCTCATACCACTAACTGACACCTTCTCGTCGCTCATACCACTAACTGACATCTTCTCGCCGCTTATACCACTAACTGACAACTTCTAGCCACCCATACCACTAACTGACACCTTCTAGCAGCTCATACCCCTAATTGACACCTTCTCGGCACTTATGCCACTAATGACACCTTTTAGCTGCTCATACCACCAATGACACCTTCACAGAAAGATGTGGCTGACCACTACGTTCCACCCAGCAAGCGGGGCACTAGAGACAGTGGGGGTGCACAAGGGATGGAGGGGGGGGTGCGGCGATATTTGTGTTGCCTAGGGCAGCACAAAACATAAATACACCACTGGATCTAACAGTACTGATTGGCATATTCAAGACTTTGGACTTTTTTATGTCCTTTTCCATCTTTATAAAGTTCCATTACCTTGTTACGCAGGACTTTTGACTGTTCTTTTCTGATCTCCATGGCTTCATATCTAGCCTAGGCAGTGCTTCCACGTAAGAGCTAACAAACTCATTGAGTATTTATACACTGACACTAATTGCAATTTAAAAAGCCACAGATGTGGGAGATTAACCTCTAATTGGCATTTTAACCCGTGTGTGTCACCTTGTGTGTCTGTACCAAGGCCAAACATTCCAGGGCATGTAAACGTTTGATCATGGCCATTTGGGTGATTTCTGTTATCATTATGATTTAAAAAGGAGCCAAACAACTATTTGATAATAAATGGCTTCATATGATCATCATCCTTCAATAAAAGAGCATCTTTTGGCATGATCAGTCATATTTTCAATATCAATGCCAAATTTTCACAATTTCTGCCAGGGTATGTAAACTTTTGAGTACAACTGTATATAGCGCCGTCAATTTACGCAGCGCTTCACATATATATTGTACATTCACATCAGTCCCTAACCCTCAAGGGGCGTACAATCTAAGGTCCCTAACTTACATTCATACATACTAAAGAAGTAGAGGCTATTCACCTAGACAGGATCCAATTAACCTACCAGCACGTCTTTGGAGTGAGGGAGGAAACTGGAGTAAAATTGGATAAAGGGTTCAAGGATAAAGGGTAAACAAGTTGAGAAAGGTTAGTCTAGATCAGTGTTTCTCAACTCCAGTCCTCATGGACCCCCAACAGGTCATGTTTTCAGGATTTCCGTTATTTTGCACAGGTGATTTGATCAGTTTCACTGCCTTAGTAATTACCACAGCTGTTTCATCTGAGGGAAATCCTGAAAACATGACCTGTTGGGGGTCCATGAGGACTGGAGTTGAGAAACACTGGTCTAGGTGAATAGCTTCTACTCTTTAGCAAATTAAGCCAAAAAAATGTTTAATACAGAGCAAATGCTTATCAGCAGTGAAAGTCCAGTTATGAAGCCTGTGCTCTGGCTTTTTTACATACATTCTGAACTTGGAGGATTAGATGTATTTTCTTTCTCTTTTTTTTTGTAATGTTGTATCTAAAATATTGAGTGCCCCTTGGATGGTACTAGGCTTGTATAACAAGCAAGCAAACTCGTGTTCTGATGACAAGGAAAGGATTCCCTTCACTTCTCTGAAAATCATAGAAGGTGAGACTTATCTTCCCTGTGCAGCCCCCTGCTATTCTGATATCAATCTACATGCCCTGCAGCACTGGGGAGGGGTGCTTTGTGAACAATCCCAAAATAAAAGGGTATCTATATCAAAGCACTGGTGCCTCTGCCAATGGCTCTTATTCAGAATCCTCTTCATTTCTAAACCAGTGGTTGAGAAGTGTGAAAATGGAGCATTTCCCTATTAATCCTCCCAGCAGGAACCATGGACTTGATAAAAAAGTGCCAAGTCACAAAATAACATTAACAATTTATATCTATAGTAACCAGGGGTGGACTGACAACTCATGGGGTCCCTGGGCAACAGGGGATCATGGGGCCTCTGTGCCCTCGCCCACACTCAAACCACACCCAAAAAAGCCAATGAAAAGGTACCAGGGGCATCTCATGGGGCCCCCTACTGACTCCAGGCCCTCGGGCAGTGCCCGAGTTCCCAAATAGTCAGTCCCGCCCCTGATAGTAACATTTAAAAACATATAATAAGCATATTTTCCCATTCTTTACTTCTTTTTAATATTAAAGTCTATGAAAATTAAAGACATGGCAGATATCAATGGAAAGGAAATGTTATTTGTTCTAGGAGGAAAATATAAGTCTATGGGGTTGAGTTACTAAATGCAAATAGGCTGTGCACTCCAAGTGCAGTTGCTCTAGATCTGAGGGGAACATTCAAAGAAAATAAAAAAAAACTGATTTTTTGCTTGCAGATAATTGGATGAAAGAACTCAGCAGAGCTTCCCTGCGGATCTAAAGCAACACTTGCAGGTGTACTTGCAGTGCACAGTATATTTACCTTTAGTAAATCAACCCCTATATGTCTCACTTCTACATCATAAGTAACTAGAAAAGCTACAATTTCTGGGGAAATTGTGTGAAGTGTTCTTGCCTCCACCAGTAGTCTACAACTGGAGTGGGCGGAGTGACTGGGTGGAGTGGCTTGTCACTCTGCTGCCTGCTCACACACTTGGGTTCCTATGGCAACTCGCTCTACAGCAAGGGCAGAGAAGAGCGGTTAAAAACAAACTGCTCCAACTTGCTTACTTCACTGGGTGGTTGCCATCTTCAAACGGTTGTAGTTTAAACATTATAAATCCTACACTGAAGAGCTTTATATTGTGAGAATCACAAGACCCAGACCTACGTTTTGATGCATAGTATGTCTCTGAAATATTAAAAATGAAGGCACAGTTGCAGTTTAGAAATTGCCCTTCAAATTTGAGGTGGCTAGAGTGGAGTTTCAATGAATGTCAATGGGCGGCGTGAGTTGCAAACAAATGGTCATATTGCGACAACTTTAGGACTATGGCTCAGCCGTGGACAATTTTAGTGGCAGCAGGGATAGCTGAATGTTTTGATATAAAATATGTGTAGGTGGGCTTGAAAATGAAGGAGTGATGGCAGTTTAGAAATCATGTCCTGATTTTTCACCTCACACTCTAGCTTTTTTCAGCTCCCACTCTAGTTTTGAATATTCCGCCATTCATTCCTATGGGACCAATTTCACCACAAAAAAACGGCGATATTTCGTGAACCATTCTGCGAAACGTTCCACAAAGTAATAGCACACCAATCGGGAACAATCCGCACGTTTCTGTATATTACTGTCTATGTAGTGTAAAAACTGTGGGAGGAGTTAGGGTGGTAAATTTGGCTATAATAATAAGAATATATATGTGAGATATCAGTAAGTGGTCTTGCCATGCAAGAATACTTAATGAGCTAAATCATTTACAAAAAATTAAATGTTCAATGTCCTCTGCTGGGTTCACAGTGTTGCACTGCGGTAACATGCACATTACTACAATGCTTGGAAACATGCATGTTGCTCAGGGGCGGACTGACAATTTGAGCACTTGGGCACTGCCCAAGGGCCCGGGGTCAGTAAGGGGCCCCAAAAAATGCCCCTGGTACCTTTTATAGGCTTTTTTGGGTGTGATTTGAGTGTGGTCAAGGACACAGGGGCCCCATGATCCCTTATTGCCCGGGGGCCCCATGAGTTGTCAGTCCTCCCCTGATGTTGCTCATTGGTGTTCTGCAATGCTGTTCATTCTTAATGGCACCTTGCAATGGACATGTATTGCAGCACACCACAACACACAGGAAATGCTCTACCACGTGGTGTATTGTATTACAAAAAAAAAGTGCATGCGCTTTTTTTGTGCGTTAAGCAGATAATTCAAATAACGCATTTTAACAAACGATATTACTTATGCCATTATGAATATGCTAAGCACACTGCAACACTGTGAGCCCAGTCTTCAGTTTGTTTCTTTCAAAGGCAGCTACAGCCTGGGTAGAAAAGCTTGTCCCCAACCAGCAGCTGCAGAGTTGGGAAGCTTTGGCTCTGACTCAGCAGGGGGTATGTGGGGGCCTCTGCAGAGAGATCACTGCTTCCTCACAAAGAGTAGGGGTCCCGCTTTGCAGCATGCTGGCAGGGAACAGGTTTTTCTTCTCATGCTGTGAAAAAAAAAAACTTTTAGGTTTTTGAAACAACTTTTGTTTGATTAACCTGGAATGTGTTTTGCTGATTTAAACTGAAAGTTATTTTTAGCTGTAATGACTCTGGAGCTTAATTGGTTATAGATAAATAATTGCACAGAATGATATGGATCTTCCATAGTGAATGGAACTTTACAGTAGGCTGCACTATATCTTGAGTCCCACAAAACAGCATTTTCCTCTAGATGTATTTTCCACCCATCTATGATGGTGGGTTGGGATTAGTTATTGTTTCTGCAAGCCAGCATTATTCTCTGTGCAGTAGTATTAAAGTGTAACTTCAGAGACAAGAAGAATTAGGGTAGAATCTCAGTCAGGTTATATTGCTGTCTATGTCTCTTTTTCAAAATATATTCTTGATTTCTGTTACAATGACAGTCCTTGCTGGGACAGGAAGTGGGAGAAATTTCCCAAGAGCAGATTAAAAAAAAACTTAAATGGGGCTCTAAATCTTCTCTTCAGCTTGGACCAATGTAAGTATGTATATTCCATACTGTAGCGGTGACTACTACAATGATTTCCATCTTCCACAAGGATCCCATAGGTATGGGATATGCATATTTTCCTTGAATCTTTCCTCTTCGCTGAGCTTCTCCGTGCCATTTCTCCAGTTCCCCAATATCCTTTTTGTGAATTGGTGCCTAAAACTGAACTGCATATTCCAGATGAGGTCCTACTAAGTATGTCGCTTAGAGCTCACGAGAACTTCCAGAAACTATCTGATGCAATGCTGTTGCTGTAAACATACAGTTTTCCTATATTTTATCTGCTAGTCAGCTTGATATGTATGTTTGACAAATATGCTACAAAATCCGAGACCTTACAATTGCAATTTTTGAAGCAATTTATGTAGTCCAATTACAATTCACTTTTTGTACAGTTGCCAATAAATCCTCTACCGAAGTTAAAAAAAAAAAACTATTTCTGTTTTCCAGTGAAAGAAGAAAGTTAAAACCACCCTGATATCTGAAACTATTGTATGCCCCTTTGAAAGACACCTGAAGTAACCTTTTGTATAACAATGAAAGTCTGTTTCCTACCATACATACCCTATTACAAGACATGTACTGCATGTGTGTAATAAATAAAAATCAGCCCATTCATTGCTTCCTCCCAAGTGACAGCATCATTACAGAAGTAATTATATGTGAAAGGACAATGGATGAAATCTATGCAAGCATCAAGGAGCTGTTGGAAGTAAAATGTGGAATGCATTGTTTTTATATAGTTTTATGCCAGAAATAATCCACACCAACAGGTCGCCTATAAACAAGCTATCTTCAGTCATCTGCAGCACAAATAGTATGAATGAGTCATTTAATTGGACAGTTTACGATACCTGGAACTAGAAAGGGCTTTAGCAATCCTTGGTTTTCATGAGTAATGTGCCAAGGACTCCGGTTATGGCATTCTGTCACCCTTTTATGCTACTCAACAGTAAACATTAGGATGTTTTGGTTTATTGATATTTGTTCATGATCTCATGAATGGAAAAGTACAGACAGGGGAAGAATAGTCTACTATGGCTATCTATTTCCTGTAACGTCTGGTGCCTTCAGAGTACAGTCCTAATTTGCGGTGGAACAGAAAAAGTGTCCCTTTTCTTTACAGGGGGAGCTAAGACATTTTTTTTGGTGGGGTCTTTATTGGGAACTAAATGAAAACATAATTATGATATATAAAAGGGAAGCAAACGCCTATATATAAATGAGTAAGTAAGACCTTATGCAAATGTTCATCCATGAAAAATCTCAAATTCCTCACCATAAAACCAATACAATACATGAACAATGTCCAAATAATAAAAACAAAATTGGAAGATGGAATAACATCAAAAGATAACAAAATAGAAAAGTCCACTCCCAGTGTCCAAGTTAAAGCCCCAAAGGGCAATCAAATATCAATACAGATGATCTATGAATAATTCCACATGCAGTGCTCCAGGACCACCAGATGGCCGAAAAGGCCTCTTCCTTACCGGATTTCGGAAATCAAAAGCGCTTAGACACCAAAATGATCACTGGTCACTCCAGGGTCCACTGCCATTTAACAAAAGAAGTAGTAGTTGCCATGAGCAAATTACCGAAGTAGGTAATAAACACCCAAGCAACGTAGCTTATATGTAAAATCACATATTTTTATTATTCCCTTTTAGAGAAACGGTAAAATCCATGGATGGTGACACATATACAATCACTGAATACACATTAAAGACAAGCAATCCAGATTGCAACATTTAGTATTTCTATCACAATCCTATGCAGGATTTATAAGTGTATAACACAAAACCTTGTGATACACGGCTGAATTTTTGGCTATTTTTGCTAATATACTGCTATATATCTCAACCAGTCAAAGTGAATACCACTAGAAATACTAAATGTTGCAATCCAGATTGCTTTTCTTTCATTGTTTTTAATGTGTATTCAGTGATTGTATGTGGCACCATCCACGGATATTACCTTTTCTCCCAAAGGGAATAATAACATTATGTGATTTTACATATAAGCTACATTGCTTGAAGGTGTTTATTACCTACTTCGGTAGTTGGCTCATGGTGGCTCATGGCAGCTACTACTTCTTTTGTTACAAATTTTGCAGTTTACACCCACACCTTCAAATAGGTGCGATCTTTGAGCTTATTAACCTCCTTAGCGGTATTCCCGAGTGTAGCTCGGGGGAAAATTTCTATACCAAGAGCAGTAACCCCGATCTACACTCGGGCTTACCATGCAGCGTTGCTCAGGGGGTCCCTGCAGCACTTACCTTGTCCTTTGCTCCAGCGATGTGTCCCCTGCAGCGTCCCCGGCCATCTCCTCCGGCCGATGCTGGCATCCGGCTTCTGTGTTCCGGTCCCTGTGACGTCGGGACGTACGGGCGCCGGAACCGACGGGAAATTTGAAATTTTTAAAAAATTTCTTTTTTGATGTCATTGCTGTTTCAATGCATTTCACATATATTTTTGTCCCTACTGCTTTGTCCTGTGCCCTGCCTGCATTTTGAATGTTCTTTCTGCCTGGAAACTTAGAAAAGTCCATGGCGTCCAAAAGCGTCCCTTTACGTCAAAAAGCGGTTTTAGAACAGCGATAGTAAATCAGAACCACTTGCAGAATTGAGTGATAATGATTTGTGGGGAAATTCGTCATCAGACACTGAAAACGATTTTGCGACTTTGCTCAGCGATGTGCGAATTTGCCTCTGTATTTCAAATTTCAGTGTTTTTTGGTTTGATTATATTATTGAATTAAATTTATTATTATATTATTATTATTTTTTATGATTATTTATTAAATTATAATTTATGATTTCGTGTTTCAAATTTTAATCCTACCCGGGATGTTTAATAGACTCTTGTTCGTACAGATTTCAGTGAGTTATTCCTAAAAATTTACAGCCTACATTAAAAAAACTACATATTTCGATGCAAAAAAATGGTACCGCTTTCAGCACAAAAAATCGGAAAGAATCATATCGCCAAGGAGGTTATTGGCTACCAATTTTCCATGTACCAGCCCTGTCTGGTCAATTTGCAACTTACAGGGATACACAATACAATATAATGGTGTAGCGCTAAATGCATATAAACGCATATAAATAAAGACATGCAACACACCCCTACCCATGAAATAAAAACATAAGCCCCAAATAGGGGATCAAGTGGTAGTGACACAAGTGATTCCTCTTAGAGGAACTTATCACACGTGAAAAAAGTCCAAACGTCGTGTAAATCTTGGTAATAACCTAGTCCTTATATCTTTAATGGATGCAGAAACCCAGACTGATGGATGGATGGTGTATATTAAGTGCCACACTCTGCAAGGTGATATCCGTGAACAGCCTAAGTGCCTCCTCACCTCCTTTATGAGACCACAAGGGTCACCGCACTTTGTGGAATGTCCACATATATCCGGGATGACGTCACTACGCCTCGTCCTATCGATACATGCCGACGCGTTGCGTCACGGTAAACACGTGACTTCATCAGGGTGAGTGTGAGTGTGCATTTTTATTTCTTTAAAATAAAGCGATTAGGCAGTATTACACTATGGGAGGTCTGTTTTGGTGTTGTCTATGACCTTCTGGTGGGATCGGTTACGGAGTGGAGCCAGGTGACAGGCGGACGTGGAGGAGTAGCAGGGATATCCAAACCAACGGAGGGGCTCATCTACTGATATAACCATCCTGGGATATATGTGGACATTCCACAAAGTGTGGTGACCCTTGTGGTCTCATAAAGGAGGTGAGGAGGCACTTTGGCTGTTCACGGATTTCACCTTGCAGAGTGTGGCACTTAATATACACCATCCATCAGTCTGGGTTTCTGCATTCATTTAAGATATAAGGACTAGGTTATATTACCAAAATTTACACACCGTTTGGACTTTTTTTCACGTGTGATAAGTTCCTCTAAGAGGAATCACTTTGTGTCACTACCACTTGATCCCCTATTTGGGGCTTATGTTTTTATTTTGTGGGTAGGGGTGTGTTGCATGTCTTTATTTATATGCGTTTATATGCATTTAGCGCTACACCATTATATTGTATTGTGTATCTGTGACTTTATACTTTGTGGTTACGGTTGGTGTTGGCTGCTTAAAGATAGTGTATCCATTTGCAGCGCAGGA